TGCAATCCCTATAAAATTACCAACAGCATTCTTCAACGAACTGGAACAAATAGTTAAAAAATTCATATGGAACCACCAAAGACCCCGAATAGCCAAAGCAATCCTGAGAAGGAAGAATAAAGTTGGGGGGATCTTGCTCCCCAACTTCAAGCTCTACTACAAAGCCACAGTAATCAAGACAATTTGGTACTGGCACAAGAACAGAGCCACAGACCAGTGGAACAGAATAAAGACTCCAGACATTAACCCAAACATATATGGTCAGTTAATAAATGATAAAGGAGCCATGGACATACAATGGGGAAATGACAGCCTCTTCAACAGTTGGTGTTGGCAAAACTGGACAGCTACATGTAAGAGAATGATACTGGGTTATTGTCTAACCCCATACACAAAAGTAAACTCAAATGGATCAAAGACCTAAATGTAAGTCATGAAGCCATAAAAGTCTTAGAAAAAAACATAGGCAAAAATCTCTTGTACATAAACATGAGCAACTTCTTCATGAACATATCTCCCCGGGCAAGGGAAACAAAAGCAAAAATCAACAAGTGGGACTATATCAAGCTGAAAAGCTTCTGTACAACAAAGGACACCATCAATAGAACAAAAAGGCATCCTACAGTATGGGGGAATATATTCATAAATGACAGATCCAATAAAGGGTTGACATCCAAAATATATAAAGAGCTCACACACCTCGACAAACAAAAAGCAAATAATCCAATTAAAAAATGGGCAGAGGAGCTGAACAGACAGTTCTCCAAAGAAGAAATTCAGACGGCCAACAGACAGATGAAAAGCTGCTCCACATCGCTAGTCATCAGAGAAATGCAAATTAAAACCACAATGAGATATCACCTCACACCAGTAAGGACCACCACCATCCAAAAGACAAGCAACAAATGTTGGTGAGGTTGTGGAGAAAGTGGAACCCTCCTACACTGCTGGTGGGAATGCAAATTAGTTCAACCATGTGGAAAGCAGTATGGAGGTTCCTCAAAATGCTCAAAATAGAAATACCATTTGACCCAGGAATTACATTTCCAGGAATTTACCCTAAGAATGCAGCACTCCAGTTTGAAAATGACAGATGCACCCCAATGTTTATCGCTGCACTATTTACAATAGCCAAGATATGGATGCAACCTAAATGTCCATTAGTAGATGAATGGATAAAGAAGATGTGGTACATATACACAATAGAATATTACTCAGCCATAAGAAAAAAACAGATCCTACCATTTGCAGTGACATGGATGGAGCTAGAGGGTATTATGCTCAGTGAAATAAGCCAGGCGGAGAAAGACAAGTACCAAATGATTTCACTCATATGCAGAGTATAAGAACAAAGGAAAACTGAAGGAACAAAACAGCAGCAGAATCACAGAACCCAAGAATGGACTAACAGTTACCAAAGGGAAAGGGACTGGGGAGAATGGGAGGGTATTGAGGGATAAGGGCCAGGAAGAAGAAAGGGGGTACTACAATTAGCATGTATAGTGTGTGGGGGGCACAGGGAGGGCTGTGCAACATAGAGAAGACAAGTAGTGATTCTACAGCATCTTAGTACGCTGATGGACAGTGACTGTGAAGGTGTATGTGGGGGGGACTTGGTGAAGGGGGAAGCCTAGTAAACATGTCCTTCATGTAACTGCAGATTAATGATACCAAAAAAGAAAAAAGATGCTCCACATCGCTAATTATCAGAGAAATGCAAATTAAAACCACAATGAGATATCACCTCACACCAGTAAGGATGGCTACCATCCAAAAGACAACAACAAATGTTGGTGAGGTTGTGGAGAAAAGGAAACCCTCCTACACTGCTGGTGGGGATGTAAATTAGTTCAACCATTGTGGAAAGCAGTATGGAGGTTCCTCAAAATGCTCAAAATAGATATACCATTTGACCCAGGAATTCTACTCCTAGGAATTTACCCTAAGAATGCAGCAGCCCAGTTTGAAAAAGACATATGCACCCCTATGTTTACCGCAGCACTATTAACAATAGCCAAGAAATGGAAGCAACCTAAGTGTCCATCAGTAAATGAATGGATAAAGAAGATGTGGTACGTATACACAATGGAATATTATTCAGCCATAAGAAGAAAACAAATCCTACCATTTGCAACAACATGGATGGAGCTAGAGGGTATTATGCACAGTGAAATAAGCCAGGCGGAGAAAGACAAATACCAAATGATTTCACTCATATGTGGAGTATAAGAACAAAGGAAAACTGAAGGAACAAAACAGCAGCAGAATCACAGAACCCAAGAATGAACTAACAGTTACCAAAGGGAAAGGGACTGGGGAGAATGGGAGGGCATTGAGGGATAAGGGCCGGGAAGAAGAAAGGGGGTATTATGATTAGCATATATAATGTGGGGAGTGGGGAAAGGGGAGGGCTGTGCAACACAGAGAAGACAAGTAGTGATTCTACAACATCTTACTACGCTGATGGACAATGACTGTTAAGGGGGTTGTGGGGGGGACTTGGTGAAGGGGAGAGCCTAGTAAACATAATGTTCTTCATGTAATTGTAGATTATTGATAACAAAATAAAAAAATTAAAAAACAGCAAACAAACATTAGCTAGGATGTGGAGAAATTGCAACCCCCTGCATTGCTGCTGGGAGTGTAAAATGGTGCAGCTGCTGTGCAAACAGTATGGCAGTTAGTCAAAATATAAAACATAGAATTACCACATGATCCAGCAATTCCATTTGAAAATAACCATATTTTATATGTGTGTATTTTTACATATATGTATGTACACATAGATATATGTATATGTTTTTCCTAGGTAACTAAGGACTATAAATTTTCCAAGGAAAAGCAAAGTGAGTCCAGGTTTATATATAATTGAATTGAAACTGCTCCCCTCCAAAAATATTAGTGAGAGGCCTTTGGGGAACCTGTTTTACTCTTTAAACTCAAGCACTTCTATCCTTTATTTCAAGTAAGAGGAAAATAGCAGCAATAAGAAATATTTTGTATTCTTTGAAGTTGTTCACTTTAGAATTTTTTCCTTCAATCTGTGTATAAACCCCAGGCTGTGCTCTGTTCTTTTTCAGTATCAGTGATAAACACAGTTCTTTTCTAATTCATTGCTATTTTGAAGTATTCTTCTTAAAATGCTTGATGTGAGATATCTTAATAGGAGAAAAAGAACCTGCTGAATTGTCCTTTGAAAATTTTAAAGACTAAGTTCATGAAGGATGCTTATAAAGCCTATTTTCAAAATTCCATTGTGTGAGTAGCTATAGCAGAATTGGTTTCTTTGAACCATGTTATTTATAGGTATTATCAGCTTTATATGCTCTACTCACCAGTATCTTTGGAATTCTGGTAATAAGAATGTCCAGCTGACCTGTTAAAAAAAAAAGAGATGTAACAGTTGACAGCTTTGTAAGCATTAAAGAAAGTAGTTTAAATGAAAAAAGGGCAGTATTACAAATTTTTATTTATGTTTCCATCAGACAGAATGTCTTGCAAATTTCCTCCTCTAAGCCTGGTTATGTCCTAAGCTCCAGACTTTTTCAAAGGAGTTATGTGGCATTTTCACCATATTAGAAAGTATTACCTCTAAGCCCGATTTGGTCTTTTATAGCCTCCAAATCTAATCTCTACATTGAGCTCAGTAGTTTGGGCTTCTGTGCTATCCATAATGCTTTCTTGCTCTATTTTTTTTTCCTTTTTACAGGGGAAAGTGTGGATGCAGTCTCCTACTACCACAAATTATGCAGTTGAGTTTCCCACATTTGGGGAAATCGCAGGGGTCAGCACATCCAGAGTGCAATGGATGAGCCTTGCCCTGTGAGAACCACCTTTATGATCAAGGTATCTCCCCTGCCAAGTAAATATTGCTCTATTTTTAATAAAGTTATTTGGGCATGAAAAAGACTATTTTGTTCTTTAACATATATAATTAAGGTATAATGGAACTAATAAGTTGGTCTGTAATGTCTCTAATTTTGTACAAGTTTTTTTCTTTTCCAAGTTAAGCCTCACTAGGATCAGGATCCAAAGCACAGTAATAAACAGAAAAGAAATCTAAGACCCCATCCTTAGACGTTTTCAATCTACCAGATATACATACATAAACATATATATATATATATTTTTAAAGATGGTCATGGGTGCAGCAGGAGCCATGCCGGTGGGCTGAATTGCAGAGCCTTGCAGCTCTCACTTTTAGGGAATAACTGGTGGAAGGGATGAGGAGGTACTGCCTCCAGCAGTGACTTCAGCAACTAATTGTCTTCAGCATTCAGAAAATGATGGTAAAAACCTGCCCAAAATGAAATGGAGTTAAGAAGAGAAGAACTTCTGTATGAAGAAAATGTCAAGATCAAGGTGCCTCTAATATTCATAATATTCTGTGTCCTTGGTGATTAAGAATTCCCTTGACATAAAGTTGGCTAATGTCACACCGAGGGAACTGATTTACTGACTTGGAAGCCCTCAGATAATCCTCTGTTCCCTCTGTTCTCCTTCCTCCCTTTTTTGGGAGCAGAGAGCAAAATTTCCAGCAGGTTTCGCAGCGCCCCCTCGGGGCAGAAAGAACCACCAGGCGACTGTCGCAGTTAACGCGTTTCGTCTTTGCACCAACAACCCTCCTCCTTAACCTCCCCTTAGAAGCTTTTCCTCTAAACAGTGAGGTCGGCTTCCATATTCCCCATCCCGGCCACAACAAAGGATCTTACCCTCTCGCACCTCAGTGCACTGAGGACCCCTCCATTGAAACAGCCAGCTCCCACCCCGTCCTTTACAAGGGGGATCACAACCCGGTGCCGATCGCCATCCTCCCTAACCCCTCAGGGCCCCGCAGCCTCACCTGCCGCCGCCACCCTCAGGCCTGGCCACTGGGGGAAGCTCTGCGGAAGAGCTGCGCTCCAACCAGTTGGACACTGGACTCCGGCCGGGCATCGCCTCTCGGGTGCCCGGACCGCGAACTGCGTGCTGTAGAAGCTTCCCCTTTCCCGCGACCCCTACCCCCGTCGGCACGCGTACGTCAGGCCCGACGTTATTGGGGGAGAGGAGGCTGATGCCGGATTATAGTCCCCTCCGATGCGCTCTGGACACTGCCCGAATAGCTTCGAGAGAGCGGGGAGAGCGGGTCTACGATCCCGGAGTAAATTGGGGGAGGGGCCGGAGTTCTTTAGCTGACTGTGAGCTTGCACGTTTACATCTTTGTGTGGACGGAATGAGTCACGAGAAGGAAACACACTCCTCTAAAAACAAGAGATGCCTTCCACTTCAGTATGCCGGACCCTCCGCAAATCTGCAGATCTTGAGTGTCACCACACAGGCCAAACGTCAGTACTCAAACCAAGGACCAGAGCCGCCGGCGCCGGATGCTGAGTTATCACCAAGGCAACCAGGCTTCGCTAGCCTCCCAACGGCCATTTCCGCCAACTAGTTTTGCGTACGCGCAAACCCCTCCCCCCTCCCCGGGGGTTTAGCCAGGACGCGGGTCACATGGGATTTGGCCCGCGGGACACTCCGTAGTCAGAGGTGTGTCAGAACAGTAGGAACAAAAGGAAATTGGGTTGCGATTGGTTCGCAGGTCTTGTTCCTGGAACTCAGTGGGCGTTGCACGGAGGCTGAAGGGAGCGTGGCTGTAAGGCTCCGTGGTGCGCGCCTGGCGGTGCCTGGAACCCAGAGGCGATATGCCTCGGTACGCGCAGTTGGTCATGGGCCCCGCCGGCAGCGGGAAGGTGAGGATTTGACGGGAGGATAGAAAAGTCGGAGTTCGTGGGGTGCAGGAAGGTGAGGGTGAGGGAGAGGGTGTGTGTGTGTCTTCCTGGACACCTTGCTTCTGAAGGCTGGGCTTCACTGTCCTTTTCGTTGTACCCTCAAAGGAGATTCATGAATAGTTGCTGATATTTAGTGTATACTTCTGCCGCAGAGACTGCGCTAAACCCCTCATTTATTTCCATAACAATCCGGTGAGATGACCCCCTGATAATCCCATTTTACAGATAAAGAAAATGAGGTACAGAAAGGTTCATCTTTGCCCAAGATTACACAGCTAGTTACGTGACGGCTGGAATTTGAATTCGCTTTTGTTTCACCCAAGAATCTTGTCTGTCTTGGTCTCGTTAATGACTGTTTCTGGTACGTCTGGTATTGGACGCAATTTTAGGAGGTACACGGTTCTGACATTAATGAACATTGAGAAAGTTGCTCTCTTTCCAATTTCTTCAGTTTGTCTTGAGGTGAAAAGTTTGATGCTAGTGTATCTTCAACACTTGTTTAATCCTCAAGTCTCTAAAGAAAGAGATCTTAGGCCCAGAGCTTTCCACAGACAATTATATTTAGCTAAAAGAAAAAGTTTCAAGGTTGTATTTAATTTTATGGTTACTTTAATATTACGATAAATGTAACTCATTTTCTCTTTATAATAGTGATATAGTTTTTTCTTGTATATGAATATTAAAGGAATAATATTACAGGCATTCAAATATGGTACAAATGGTAAAGGTATTGGTTAAACAACAGGAGTGTTGCCCAAAGCAATCTACACATTCAATGCAATCCCTATCAAATTACCAACAGCATTCTTCAACGAACTGGAACAAATAGTTAAAAAATTCATATGGAACCACCAAAGACCCCGAATAGCCAAAGCAATCCTGAGAAGGAAGAATAAAGCTGGGGGGATCTTGCTCCCCAACTTCAAGCTCTACTACAAAGCCACAGTAATCAAGACAATTTGGTACTGGCACAAGAACAGAGCCACAGACCAGTGGAACAGAATAAAGACTCCAGACATTAACCCAAACATATATGGTCAGTTAATAAATGATAAAGGAGCCATGGACATACAATGGGGAAATGACAGCCTCTTCAACAGTTGGTGTTGGCAAAACTGGACAGCTACATGTAAGAGAATGATACTGGGTTATTGTCTAACCCCATACACAAAAGTAAACTCAAATGGATCAAAGACCTAAATGTAAGTCATGAAGCCATAAAAGTCTTAGAAAAAAACATAGGCAAAAATCTCTTGTACATAAACATGAGCAACTTCTTCATGAACATATCTCCCCGGGCAAGGGAAACAAAAGCAAAAATGAACAAGTGGGACTATATCAAGCTGAAAAGCTTCTGTACATCAAAGGACACCATCAATAGAACAAAAAGGTATCCTACAGTATGGGTGAATATATTCATAAATGACAGATCCAATAAAGGGTTGACATCCAAAATATATAAAGAGCTCATTCACCTCAACAAACAAAAAGCAAATAATCCAATTAAAAAATGGGCAGAGGAGCTGAACAGACAGTTCTCCAAAGAAGAAATTCAGACGGCCAACAGACAGATGAAAAGCTGCTCCACATCGCTAGTCATCAGAGAAATGCAAATTAAAACCACAATGAGATATCACCTCACACCAGTAAGGACCACCACCATCCAAAAGACAAGCAACAAATGTTGGCGAGGTTGTGGAGAAAGGGGAACCCTCCTACACTGCTGGTGGGAATGCAGATTAGTTCAACCATGTGGAAAGCAGTATGGAGGTTCCTCAAAATGCTCAAAATAGAAATACCATTTGACCCAGGAATTACATTTCCAGGAATTTACCCTAAGAATGCAGCACTCCAGTTTGAAAAAGACAGATGCACCCCTATGTTTATCACAGCACTATTTACAATAGCCAAGAAATGGAAGCAACCTAAGTGTCCAACAGTAGATGAATGGATAAAGAAGATGTGGTACATATACACAATGGAATATTATTCAGCCATAAAAAGAAAACATCCTACCGTTTGCAACAACATAGATGGAGCTGGAGGGTATTATGCTCAGTGAAATAAGCCAGGCAGAGAAAGACAAGTACCAAATGATTTCACTCATATGTGGAGTATAAGAACAAAGAAAAAACCTGAAGGAACAAAACAGCAGCAGAATCACAGAACCCAAGAATGTGCTAACAGTTACCAAATGGAAAGGGACTGGGGAGGATAGGTGGGAAGGGAGGGATGGGGAGGGGAGAAAGGGGGCATTACGATTAACATGTATAATGTAAGGGGTGCACAGGGAGGGGTATGCAATACAGAGAAGACAAGTAGTGATTCTACAGCATCTTACTATGCTGATGGACAGTGACTATAATGGGGTTTGTGGGGGAGACTTGGTGAAGAGGGGAGTCTAGTAAACAATGTTCCTCAAAAAAAAAAAAAGATTATCTGAACCATAAGTTACAAACTGATAGCCCACCTCCAGACTATTGAACTTTATATTCTCTTATCTTGGAATGCTGTTCCCCTGGCTTGACAAGCACATTCCCATCACTGGGCTCAAATATCCCCTCCTCAGAGACATCATCCCTGAGTGCCCTACTTAAAGCTTTGTTTGAACTGTACAAGTCCTGGTGGAGACACTTTGTGTTGAGTGCTGTGTGTGTGTTATCAGAACTCTTCCCTTTGAATTCCACTTGTTGCACATAAGAGCAGCAAGGAGCTTTAGTTGTGGAGGCCATCCCAGTTAGAGACAAGAAAATTGAGGGGTAGAGTAGAGAAGCAGCTTCCCCACAGGTTCCCATTATACCCCGCCAGGTCTGGACCTGCAGCCCAGTCAGTCCTAACTTTCAGCCCAGTGCCTTTTCCATTTTCAGTCAGCTTCTTGGTCAATGAAAGCAGTTTTGGCCTTAGAGGACTCTGCCCAAGGGTTGTGGGGAATCTTTCTGGTGTTTAAGGGAGTAGCACTGCAAGTAGCACACTGCCTCTTGGCTCTGACACCTTGTGCCTTGTGACATTACAGAGCACCTACTGTGCCACTATGGTCCAGCACTGTGAAGCCCTCAATCGGTCTGTCCAGGTTGTGAACCTAGATCCTGCAGCAGAACACTTCAACTACTCCGTCATGGCTGGTGAGTGCTAGGTGGAGCCTTCCCCTCCTCCTTCAGAAAAAATAAGGCTGTGGGGAGGCAGTACAAGCTGGTGGCTCAGCATAGAAGCTGAAAATTTAATTATTTTAGTCTGGCCACCTGGTTTCATGGTGAACATTCATAACGCTGAAAGTCATTTGGTGACAGCCACTGATGCTGATATGTGTACCAGTACCCTTTCTTGGTCTCTGATTGAAGGATTAACTGAGTAGACTCCTCCCTCGCCCTCCCTTCTGTCCCATTCATGCTTAGTCCTGCTATAGTGAATCTGGTTTATTGCTGACCACAGTGTAGTAAGTATCCTCTAAGTATTTTGTTTTTATAGCAGAGAACATGACAAACACTATCCCTGCCTTTGTGGACCTTTAAGCAGGAAGATAAGCAATAAGTAGAATAACAAACAGATTATAGACTGTGATAAGGACTGCAAGTAGGCTGGTGTGAAGGAATAACTGAGGGACGTTGCTTTTAGTAGGGTAGTCGGGGACAGTGTCTCTCACGAGGCTGTTTGGGCTCGACCTAAAGATGGCAATGTGCTCACCACTCTGGGGAAAGGCCTTCTAAGGTGAGGGAACATCAAGGTCAATAAACAGTCTAGACATGGGAAAAGGTTTGGTTTGTTCCAGGAAGTGCTAAGATGATGAGCTGGCACATGAAGGAAAGAAGTGGGTAGGAGCTAGTAGGGCATTAGATGTTTGGTTTTATCCCGTTGTCTTTGTCTGTTCAGGCTGCTCCAGCAAAATAATACAAACTAGCTGGCTTATGAACAGAACTGTGTTGCTTTTATAGTTCTGGAATTCCAAGATCAGGATGCTAGCATGGTGGGGTTCTGGTGAAGGCCCTCTGCTGGGTTGCAGACTGCTGACTTCTTGCTGTGTCTTCACATGATGGAAAGGGGCCAGGGACCTCTGTGAGGTCTCTTTTTTTACATTAAAAATTATTTATTTATTTATTATTATTAAGGTATGATTGATATACACTCTTATGAAGGTTTCACATGAAAAAACAATGTGGCCTCCCCATACCGCATTGTAGTCACTGCCGAACAGTATAGTAAGATGCCACAGAGTCACTATTTGCCTTCTCTCTGCTGCACTGTCATCCCCATGATCCCCCCAACACCATGTGTGCCAATCATAGTATCCCTCAATCCCCTTCTCCCTCCCTCCCCACCTGCCCTCCCCCACCCCTCCTCTTTGGCAACTGCTAGTCCCTTCTTGAAGTCTATGAGTCTGTTACGGTTTTGTTTCTCAAGTTTTGCTCTGTTGTTAATACTCCACATATGAGTGAAATCATTTGGTACTTGTCTTTATCCGCCTGGCTTATTTCACTGAGCGTAATATCCTCCAGCTTCATTCATGCTGTTGCAAATGGTAGCATTTGTTTATTTCTTATGGCTGAATAGTATTCCATTATGTATATGTACCACCTCTTCTTTATCCATTCATCTATTGATGGACACTTAGGTTGCTTCCTTATCTTGGCTATTGTAAATAGTGCTGTGATAAACATAGGGGTGCATATGTCTTTGTGAATCTGTGATCCTGTTTTCATAGGGTAATTTCCTAGGAGTGGAATTCCTGGGTCAAATGGTATGTCTATTTTGAGCTCTTTGAGGAACCTCCATACTGCTTTCACAATAGTTGAACTAATTTACATTCCCACCAGCAGTGTAGGAGGGTTCCTCTTTCTCCACATTCTTGCCAACATTTGTTGTTTGTCTTTTGGATGGCAGCCATCCTAACTGGTTTGAGGTGATATCTCATTGTGGTTTTAATTTACATTTCTCTGATGATTAGTGATGTGGAGCATCTTTTCATGTGCCTGTTGGCCATCTGAAGTTCTTCTTTGGAGAACTGTCTGTTCAGCTCCTCTGCTCATTTTTTAATTGGATTATTTGCTTTCTGTTTGTTGAGGCGCATGAGCTCTTTATATATTTTGGACGTCAACCCTTTATTGGATATATCATTTATGAATGTATTCTCCCATACTGTAGGATGTCTTTTTGTTCTACTGATGGCGTCCTTTGCTATACAGAAGCTTCTTAGTTTGATATAGTTCTATGCGTTCATGTTTGCTTTTGTTTCCCTTGCCCCGGGAGATATGTTCATGAAGAAGTTGCTCATGTTTATGTCCAAGAGATTTTTGCCTATGTTTTTTTTCTAAGAGTTCTATGGTTTCATGACTTACATTCAGGTCTTTGATCCATTTTGAGTTTACTTTTGTGTATGGGGTTAGACAATAATCCAGTGTCATTCTCTTACATGTAGCTGTCCAGTTTTGCCAACACCAGCTGTTGAAGAGGCTGTCATTTCCCCATTGTATATCCATGGTTCCTTAATCGTATATTAATTGACCATATATGCTTGGGTTAATATCTGGACTCTCTCTTCTGTTCCACTGGTGTATGGGTCTGTTCTTGTGCCAGTACCCAATTGTCTTGATTACTGTGGCTTTGTAGTAGAGCTTGAAGTTGGGGAGCGAGATCCCCCCCCACTTTATTCTTCCTTCTTAGGATTACTTTGGGTGTTTGGGGTCTTTGGTGGTTCCATATGAATTATAGAACTATTTGTTCCAGTTCGTTGAAGAATGTTGTTGGTATTTTGTTAGTGATTGCATTGAATCTATAGATTGCTTTAGGCAGGATGGCCATTTTGGCAATATTAATTCTTCCTACCCAAGAACATGGGATGAATTTCCACTTATTAGTGTCCTCTTTAATTTCTCTTAAGAGTGTCTTGTAGTTTTCAGGGTATAGGTCTTTCAGTTCCTTTGTTAGATTTATTCCTAGGTATTTTATTCTTTTTGATGCAATTGTGAATGGAATTGTTTTCCTGATTTTTCTGCTAGTTCATCACTATTATATAGGAATGCAGCAGATTTCTGTGTATTAATTTTATATCCTGCAACTTTGCTGAATTCAGTTTTTCTAGTAGTTTTGGAGTTTATTTTTTAGGGTTTTCTATGTACAATATCATGTCATCTGTAAACAGTGATACTTTAACTTGTTCCTTACCAATCTGGATGCCTTTTACTTCTTTGTGTTGTCTGATTGCTGTGGCTAGGATTTCCAGTACTATGTTGACTAAAAGCAGGGAGAGTGGGCATCCTTGTCTTGTTTCCAATCTTAGGGGATCTCCTCTATTCTTTATATATTAGGTATCACATTCTGTAACCTTTGTCTATCCCTTGACTGACTTTGGGGGTCATTGATTTGATTTTGCATTTGCTTAGTAATTCATTATTCTACTTTCTTTGCTTCAGTTTTATTTCCTCTGGTGACAGCTATTTAGTCTTAGGAACACTTCTATCTATAACAGTCCCTCCAAAATACACTGTAGAGACAGTTTGTGGGTGGTAAATGCTCTCAGCTTTTTCTTTTCTGGTGATTGTTTAATCCCTCCTTCAAATTTAAATGATCATCTTGCCAGGTAGAGTATTCTTGGTTCGAGGCCCTTCTGTTTCATTGCATTAAATATATCATGCAACTCCCTTCTGGCCTGTAAGGTTTCTGTTGAGAAGTCTGATGATAGCCTGATGGGTTTTCCGTTATATGTAATCTTTTTTCTTTCTCTGGCTTCTTTTAATAGTCTGCTATTATCCTTGATCTTTGCCATTTTAATTATTATATGTCTTGGTGTTGTCTTCCTTGGGTCCCTTGTGTTGGGAGATCTGTGCACCTCCATGACCTGAGAGACTGTCTCCCTCCCCAGATTGGGAAAGTTTTCAGCAATTACCTCCTCAAAGACATTTTCTATCCCTTTTTCTCTCTTCTTCTTCTTCTGGTACCCCTATAATGCGAATATCGTTCTGTTTGGATTGGTCACACAGTTTGCTCAATATTATTTCATTCCTAGAGATCCTTTTTTCTCCCTGTGCCTCAGCTTCTTTGTATTCCTGTTCTCTAATTTCTATTCCATTTACCATCTCTTCTACTACATCTAATCTGCTTTTAAATCCCTCCATTGTATGTTTTATTTCAGATATTGTGTTCCTTACTTATTGAATCTTGGTCCTGAATTCTACACTGAGTTCTTGAATATTTTTCTCTAGCTCCATGAGCATATTTATGATTTTTATTTTGAAATATCTTTCAGAAATATTGATGAGTTCAGTTTCACTTGGCTCTTTTTCTGTTGTTTGTGGGATTTTGGGTTGAACCAGTTTCCTTTGACATGTCATATTTGTATGTGGTGCCCTTTAGTGCCCAGAACCTTTATTCCTTGGAGCAATGTCAGGGGTCACAGGGAAGCAGCGCTGGTGCCTGGGGGGAGGAAAGATGTGTTTCCTGCTTCCTGGCTGCTGTGCCTGTCTCCACTGCCAGAACCAGTGGGCTGAGTGCCCAGGTGTAAGCCTCTGAGCTTGGAGTTTGTATCTGCTGTAGGCAGGGCCTCTGTCTGGTTGGACTGACACCAGGACAGCAACTGCTGGTTTTCTGACATGGTGCTGCCCGGGAGGAAGGCACAGCAGGCTGCATGTCATCATGGGGGGCCTGAGAGCTGCATAGCCAACCAGGGGAATGGAGTGCATGAAGCTCTTAAAAGTTCCCAACCTGCTGGGCAGAGCGTGCCCAGACAATTTTGTCCACCTGTCATTTCTCCGAGCAGTAAGCTCTGTGCAATCCTTGCCCTTTTAGCAGCCCTCTCACTGTTAGGAAGTCTCTCAGACTGCCCGCCTTTCTTTTGTCCCAGAGCAGCTGGATGTGGATCCCTGTTTTCTACAAGCAGCTGGAATTTCAGTCTCTCCAAGTATTCTGCCTTCTTAGCTTTCCAACCCCACTAATCTCCAGAACATCATACAATGTATGTTCATCCCAGAGCAGATCTCCAGGGCTGGGTGTTCAGCAGTCCTAGGCTTCCACCCCCTCCCCGCTCCGTTTCCCTTCCTCCCACCAGTGAGCTGGGGTTGGGGAAGGGCTTGGGTCCTGCCAGATCACAGCTTTGGTATGTTACCCTGTTCCGTGAGGTCTGTTCTTTTCTCCAGGTGTATGCAGTCTGCCACAGCCTTCTTTCCTGTTGCTCTTTTAGGATTAGTTGTATTAATTATATTTTCATATTCTGTGTGGTTTTGCAATGAGGCCTCTGTCTCACCTCTCATGCCTCCATCTTTTAATCCACTGACTCTTTGTTTTTTTAAACACAGATGATGGCATTCTTACACAGAGTTCTACACCTTGCATTGTACACTGAACAGCGTACCTGGGAGATTGTATTATATCAGTGCTTAAAGAGCTTCTTTTTTATGGCTGCATAGGATTCCATTGTCTGGCTGTACAATACTTTATTAATGAATTCCCATGAGTACTTCTACAGTGAATAACCATGTACAGAAATAAATCATACACTAGTTTTTCTATAACTGTTAATTATCACTAGCAAGGATAATGGCTTTTGAATGGACAGATTTATGTTCTGGGCCCTGTCTATCCTTTTCAGACATCCGGGAACTGATCGAGGTAGACGATGTGATGGAGGACAACTCTCTGCGCTTTGGCCCCAATGGAGGATTGGTATTTTGCATGGAGTACTTTGCCAATAATTTCGACTGGCTAGAGAACTGTCTTGGCCACATAGAAGATGACTACATCCTTTTTGACTGTCCAGGTAAGTCAGCAATTTGAATGTGTCCCTTTCCTTGAAGTTGTGCTAGTTCTGTCCTCAGTGAGAAAAAGTGGAGTGAGCATTTGTAGCCCTAAACCATACTGTAGTAAGAAACAAAGCATTTGCTCATTGGTTCTAATTCATTCACTGAGTTCACTAAGTGCTTTCTTTGTACACTGGGCATAGCACAGAAAGCCAAGCACCTATGGTTTCTGCCCTCCTGGAGCTTATAGTCAAGTGGGAGTGCCAGCAGTATAAATAAAAATCACCCAGATTACCATTTAATGTTTATTTGTGACAGATGGCCTCACTGTAGTAGCACAGACCATCATGCAGTGGGACAGGGAGAAGAGGCTTCTGATCAAGTTGCCTGTAAGCTGGGCCGTGGGATGATGGTGAGGGAGGCTGTGGGCACAGCGCGCTGAAGGCCTGAGGCAGGAAGAAACAAAGTGGGCTTGAGGTACGAAAAGGCCAGTGTAGCTGGAGCACCATGAATAATGAAAAGTATGGGATGAGGCTGGTAAGGGACAGATAATCACACAACTTCTTAAGCCAAATTGTGAAATTTAGGCTTGAGTCTAACGTAGCTTTGATCATTCATGGCTCTCACTTTTTTTCCCCCCTTGCTTTTATTTATTTGTTTGTTTGTTTGTTTTAAATTAAGGTATCATTGATAGACAATCTTATAGAGGTTTCACATGAACAACATTGTGGTTTCAACATTCACCCCTATTTTCCCTTAGTTTTAATTGACCATACATACTCCCACAGAAAAGGGCATACATCATAATCTGTGTAGCATTTGATTTTAACTGGAAAAAGCCAAAGTATGGAGAATCTCATTTTCTGCATAAACTGAATAGTTTCCTTGGGGCTCCCATGGAGGCAGTGCCGTAGGTGTTAATTTACTTCAAGACACTGTAAGACCCTTTACAATTTTGAGTATATTACTTATTACCATGATTGACTTCCTTCTTAACCATCTTATGGGAAAAATCTTTTCCTGTAATCTGATGATATATTTCCTGATTGTAATATTATTGTAATGTCTCCATGTAGGTCAGATTGAGTTGTACACACATCTACCTGTGATGAAACAGCTGGTCCAGCAGCTAGAACAGTGGGAGTTCCGAGTCTGTGGAGTTTTCCTGGTTGATTCTCAGTTCATGGTGGAGTCATTCAAGGTTTGAGGATAAATCTGTTTTCGGTCATGGGCATAAGCAGGTGACAGTGTCCTTTAATCATTGTGAGATTCTGGCCACTTCAGAAACTATACTCCAGAATTATTTAGTATCCCTTATTTTTATAAGAATGGATTTTTAACTCAAAAAAAAAATGTTAAATTATGATATCATATAGACTGTGGGGAACTACTTACCGAGAAAAATGAGGCAGCTGTATATTTTGTAAGTCTGTTTTATATTTTCTGAGGACCTTTTGTCTGGTTGATTTCTCAAACAAACTTGATTTCTCATTAATAGGTCTTAAGGAACATTCAGGGAAAGGAGGTTAAAGGTATTGTCTAAATTGAGATTTGTGATCATTGAAAATTAAACCTATCCCTTCCCTCCTTATCTTTACCTTTGGAAACTGAGGGGCCACCATGTGATTTGTGGCCTTTTCTTTAGGACTGGTACTTGTTACTCAAGCCAATTTTGCTCCAGGGAGGAGGAGAAGCCTCTTATGTAGAGACCAGGGAACTTTGTTGGCAGCAGTTACCTCATCTTCCCTTTTCTGTTTACTCTTCCAGTTTATTTCTGGCGTCCTAGCAGCCCTGAGTGCTATGATCTCCCTAGAAATTCCACAGGTTAACATAATGACAAAAATGGATCTGCTGAGTAAGAAAGCCAAAAAGGAAATTGAGAAGTGAGTTCACATCTTCCATTATCATCAGTTGCAGAGACGTGAGCTTCTGTCAGTCTATAAGTCTAGTTTCCTGATTTATTCTTCCTTTTACTCATCAGTCTTCTTTCTCACTTTTTAGGTTTCTAGACCCAGACATGTATTCCTTACTAGATGATTCTGCAAGTGACTTAAGAAGCAAAAAATTCAAAAAATTGACTAAAGCTATATGTGGACTGGTATGCTTCTTAAGATTTTCTTTTTTAAAATGACCTGGTCAGGCATTTAATCACATCTAGCAGTGGCTACCATTATGGAAAGCACAGTCCAGTTCTTTGCAGAGGGGGAGACGGTGGTGGGAGGCTGCGGGTTGACTGGTCAGTGGTTTAATTTAGAAGTAGCTACTGGTGGTAGGTGATAAATGAACTGACATACCTATTCCATACATTTTGAGAGTTCAGAGCTGTCTGTGTCCTTTTGAATTTTCAATGGTTGTTGAATTTAGATAAATACCTATGAAATAGTAAATGTCTAGTTACATAAGTTAATAAATATTCTAGTTAGTCAGAGGTCAGAAAAATCAATGATGATTTGCTATTCTGTCTCTGTCCTTTCCCTCACACACAAATGTTTTTAATCAAAAGTTTAAATGGTTATAAATTCAAATATAAGTTGAAGATTAAGTATTTCACACAACTTCAGAATGATCCTTTCCAAAACCCCCAACTTGTAGATTGATGACTACAGCATGGTTCGATTTTTGCCTTATGATCAGTCAGATGAAGAAAGCATGAACATTGTATTACAGCATATTGATTTTGCCATTCAGTATGGAGAGGACTTAGAATTCAAAGAACCAAAGGTAATTTTTGATTATTGGCTTTAGTAAAAATGTTTGCCTGCACTGACTGGCCTCCAGCATAATCTCAGCAACTGCTTAAGTTAATTTTTGTCTGAATGGCAGTGGTAACCTGGGCTTTTCTGGGCCATCTCTGAAACTGCCACCTGCTCAACAAATAGTTTTACTCTACCTGTTACTGAAGCAATAATACTTAGTCACTTTGTCCTGACAGCGTGTGCAAAGGAGGTGAGATCCAGTTGAACTTGGGCTGCCCTCACATATGTTGGTGGAAAGCCTGGTGATAGTTGTCAGTGGGCACCTGTCACAGCAAACTAGCTGAGAATGGGTGTGGGTATAAGTTCAAGTAAGAAATGCTTCTGATGAGACATAGCACTTTAATTACTGCACATCTGGAAAAATTCTATCAGTCATTCCCTTTGTTACTATAAATGACACCTGGGACTACTGCTAGGCATTAGTTCCTAGTAGAGCATTACCTGAAAAATTTGTTAACACATACTAGGTCTAACTTAGGGGAAATGAATGTATTTTCTACTTTGTTTCCTTTGTGTCAGGAACATGAAGATGAATCTTCTTCAGTGTTTGACGAATATTTTCAAGAGCATCAGAATGAATGAAGAATTTATTAAAAAGTAACTGTATATGTGAAAGCTTGTGGCTGAACCAGCAGAACATTCTTCTTTTCAAAGGATACAATACTGAAAAGCTACTTTAATGAAAAATATTAGTACATGGCTCTTTATCAGCAACATGTCTTGAATCAAGTTCTTAATTATTCTGAGGCTGCTGCTGTTTAAAGTGGAATCTTTTAATATTATTTTAATAGCATCAATTTAGATATTAGAGGTTGAAATGAATGCATATATATTTGTATATAACACCACACCCGTGGAACAGCTAAGATCAGTTTACCTTTATTTTTACTGATGTTGTTATTTTTAAAGACTTTTTGGAGGGGCAGGAATTATTGTAACAAAAATATACATATGTGTGGTCAAAGGAAAAAAAATCTGGAAGGAAATAAGACCATTACTTATCTGTGTCTTTCAGTTTTCCTACATTGAAAATGTATTATTTGTATAATTAAAATATGAAAAGTTAACTATGTTTTAAGATATATAAGTATATAAATAAAAGAAGTAGAAAGATGGCACTAACCTTTTATTATACTCTTGTTTTCTACTCAGAATTTGAAATACTCAATCAAGGCAAATACTCGAATCAGTATATTTCCCCATGTGTCAGAATGTAGGCAGTGATTTCTTTAAAAATGCTGTTTGTAGTCTCTGAGCATTTAAAAATTGATACTTTCCTTGAATAATAATATGCACACAACAATGCAAAAGACAATTTTTCCTTTTTAATTTTTGTCACATTCAGTTGTTTATTTTCAGTATTTCTAAGTTCACTTGGGTTGGGTGTTATAACACGGGGAATGGCTAGTCAGTCAGCAGATGTTTCTCTGGCACCCACTTTAGGCCAGGCCTTGCTAAAGCAGAATAGAATGTCAAGTTTTTGAGTTCTGCCAGGCATTGTCCTGAGAAGCATTTTACATAATCTCATTTAACCCTTGTAATAGGCCCAGATTCCATTGGTCATTTGGTGCTTGATCTTCAGTTGATACAAATTAAGCCCTTATAGAAAAATCTGTGACTCAGGTTAAATTTTTAATCATTCTTGGGCCTAGATAGCAGAAGTACACCTGCAGTGTCAAAGTTGATCCATTTTAACTGAAGGTGCAAAATGTGAGGGGTCATAGCTGTCGGGTGATTTTGCCTGGGGTCAGCCAGGCTACCGTCAAGAGTTGGGTGTTCTCTTCATGGTTCTTGGGTGTGAGCTCTTCTCACTGGGGCAGTCAGGAGAACATGAGAGGGCAGCACAGAGTGTGCTGTGCTGTTTGGGGACTTTTCCTCTGGCCATCAGGGTGTGGAAAGGATGAAAATGCCCTGATTACCCAGTGTTGCTAATTCTTACACATTTTATTGTCATAAGGGAGGTGGGAAAATGAAAGGCAACTTTTCATTCACCTTCCTTGTTGCTCCTTAAATTATTCATGCCTGATTTAGCGTCTGGAGTCTGCCATGTGCCTCTGGGCAAGATGTGAAGGGCCAGATTCCATTTCTTTCCCCTAAGAACACTGGGGTTTCAAAGATGAGTATGACAATTCCAGCCCCCAAGGATTTCATTGTCTTGTTGGAGAGACTGGCATGATTCTGTGGATTAATTTATTGGTGAGTTCCAGCACTGGGATTGTTCAGGGCACACAGGGCCTTACTTTCATAGAGCTGACATGCTGGGTCCTTAAGACCAACCCCATATACACGGAAACCTCAGATAAGGAATGGGAAGAAGAAAACAGTAATGAAATGGAGAGTGACCTAGGGGCTGCTTTGGGCTTGTGGTCAAAGAAGCCGCCTCCTATAAGGTGCTATTTGTCCAGAGACCTAAATGATAAATCAGTTGTGGGAACATGAGGCAAAAGACTGGCAGAAGAAACAACCTGAGACAGCAATGAACTTGGCCATAATGGAAGAGGTAACCAAGAGGATGTGACCACTGACTGACCCCCAAGCTGGACCCTGGTAATTGAAGGCTCCCTACCTCTCCCTTGTCCTTGGAATATATGCTCTGCCAACCCTTCCCACAGTGGGAGCTGTTTCAAGGACATACCTTGAGGGAGTAAGGTGGTGTTGAGACCGTCTGGACATGACTGTACCAATTAAGGCCTCTATATGAACTTAAGATTTTGGTTCACAGGTCTAGAGATCTACTCACCTTATGGCTAAGAAAAGCCTTGTTAGTAAGTTCCCTTGGTTATTAAAACTTGCCAGGCAGCTGCCTCTGGGGACTCTCCCTGTGCACCGGGTGAAACCTCAACCTAGACGGGGGAGATTACTGATTCTTCGTGAGAAAGAATTCTTGAGCAGGTTGGACAAGAGTAGGTGTAGGTAAAATCGAAACATTTCCAGAATATCTTTGGCTTTGGTACATCTGCGTCTCAACAGGCATTCAGAGGAGGAAAGAAGTAGGCTTTAGTGCATTTGCATCTTTCCTCAGGGATGGAGAAGTTCATCTCCATATCAGTGGGTAATTACCTGGGCAACGGAGGGCTTATCTGTATCTGAGAGGTGAGGGGGAGGGCCCGTGTTGTTGGTGCTTGAGCAGGAGAGAGAGATGGGCTGGACTGCAGTTTTATAAGCAATGAATGGGTTTTGAACTTTATTTCTCCCTTTGATTGATTAAGATTTTTAGAGGTGTTTTGCCCCAGGATTTCCTTTCCCCGGACTTATATCTAGCACAGTCAGTAGGATTCCTCTGAACCTGAAATCTGTTATAATGGGTGCGACCTTTGGGAGGCCCACCCCAAAAAATGATGGAGAGAAGTGACTCTCACGCTGAGGAACTTGTGTCTACACTCGTGTGGTCGTGGAGCCACCACCACCACTGCTGGCCACGCCAACCCCAGCCTGTGGCCTGAGCCTAAGGCTACTGCTTCTGCCACTGCTGCTGCTTCTGCTGCCAGCTGGAGCCTGGTCACAACTATGGAAAAGAGCAGAGGTCAGGTACATCTTAGTAGAGAAGCAACTGGCTGCTGTGTACCATGCCTTGCTGGCTACGGACCATTGCCAGAACAGGTCTGACCAAGGTAATAACCACCTATCCCATCGTGGGGTGGGTGAGAGACTGGACTCAAAAACTGGCATGGCACAGACACCTACCTTATATCATGTGACTGGCCATTTGCCTTTGGCATCCTCAGGGAATAATGAAGCAGACACATTGGCCCAGGTGCACTGGCTAGAAGGAAAGCCTGCCTCTGATGTGGCCCAATGGCTACATCAGCATTTGTTGCACATGGGGCAAAAGACAATGTGGGCTGTAGCCCGTTGGCAGGGCTTGCCACTGACCTTTGAAGAAGTCAGCCAACCCTGGAAGGAGTACCCTACACTTTGTGCAGATCAGCAAACCACCAAGAGGGACCTAGAGCGTCTTTTCGCAGCCTGCGGTGACCAAGGCACCCACTTTATTGGACATGCGTTGCAAGGATGGGTGCAGCAATTAGGAATAAAATGGACATGGCCTTGGACATTTCCACATATGGACCAGTGATGGCTGGCTCTTCTGGCACCTTGGGGAAAAGGCCTGGAAGCTGGCCTCTTGTGTATTCCTGGAATAACAGCAAATTGGCCCCCGACAATCATGGTTATTTCCTTCTACAGTCCTTGTGGCCTGGATGTGACCCCAGGCTGCAGCTGCCATGTGATGGCTGGAATGGACGAGCTTTGGACTTAATCTGCATGGGTCTTTGAACCTAGCTGAATCTGCTGGCTTGAGAATTATGATTGTGTTGCTGTTGTCAAGAAAAAAATGCTTAAAGAGAGGACTGACTGTCTAATGTTTGGTAAAAGTTTTGTGAGCAATCTAGCATGATTGTTAGGAATGAGGAAACAAGTGTAGAAACATATTTTGTGCTTAGTGAGAGACTGTGCTATAAAGTACATTTACTTAATCTGTGTAGGCTGAATCCTCTGGCTTGAGGATTATCAAGATTTTATTGCTGTTGCTACTGAATGTTAACTAGATTGGTCGGAAGAGGGGGAGCTAGTAAATTGTAAGGCAAGATTTCTGGAGGGGTGGCCTGTAGGTAAAACTGAAACATTTCCAGAATTTCTCACCTGGCTTTGGTACATCTGCATATCAACAGGTGTTCAGAGGAGGAAAGAAGTAGGCTTACTGCATTTGCATCTTTCCTCAGGGGTGGAGAGACTCATCTCCCTATCAATGGGTAATTATCTGGGCAACAGAAGGCTTATCAGTACCTGAGAGGTGAGGGGGAGGGCCAGTGTTGCTGCTGCTTGAACAGGTGAGAGAGATGGGCCAGACTGCAGTTTTGTAAGCAATAAATGGATTTTAAACTTTAGTTCTCCCTTTGACTGATTTCGGTTTTTAGAGGTATTTTGCCCCGGGATTTCCTCTCCCCGAATGTCAAGCACTTTACATGTAGTTCATTTCACCCTCAAAACTATTGAGGTACTTGTTATCTCCATATTCAGGTGAGGAAACTGAGGCCCAGAGAAGTTAACTTACCCAAATTACACTGCTAATTAAATGTTGGAGCTGGGATTCAAACCCAGAGTTCACTTTCTGAGCCTTTACAGAGAGAATTGGAACACAGTACCTTCTCACTGCGCTCTCCTTTCCCCATTGTGAAAACCTGGAGGCTGGATTCATTCATTCACTGATCAAATATTTATTGACGCTTACTGTGTACCATCACTGTTAGAGGCGCCGGGGATGCATACAGTGAACAAAACAAAATCCCTGCTTTTCTGACGTTCACGTGGACAGACCACCACCAAAAGCAAACTAAATAATAAAAGAATCATTAAGAACCAAGAAGAGAGAAAAAGGATGACGCGGGGGTGGGTGCGTGGAGTGGGTTGAATTTAAAATAGTGTGATGCAGGGAATACTTCACTGAAAAGATGATCTTTGAGAAAAAAAACTAAGGCGGTCATTGACTCCTAGAATCCCCAAACTCCAACATGCATCTCTGTTGCCTGGGCAACTCACGCATGCGCGGCACTCATAGACCCTGCCTAGTGCTCTGGCGCCGCCCCCTCGCCCCCAACCCTCCGGCGCCCCTCGGACTCACGCAGCCGCAGCAGCCAGCAGCCGGACAGCAAAGCCGGAAGCCTCGCGTCCTCCCGTCGCCCTCCCTTTCCGGCTCACTTCTGCCTACCCCGCCCGGGCCGCCAGGCCGGAAGCGCCGTGCTCTCATCTCATCCCGTCTTTCGTGTGGGTCGAAAATCGGCGCTGCCAAGATGCCGGTGAGGGGCCAGAGTCGGGGTTGTGGGGAGACAGCGAGAACTGGGGAGAACAGCAGGAAATTGTGCGTGCGCCGCAAGAAGCGGGTTGGAAAAGGAAAGAGGAAGCGGGGTCCTGAGAAAGAGACGAGGGGAGGAGGCTGCTTTCTGTAGGGATGGGGCAGCCCCGGGCCCGTCGGCCATGGGGGGGCGGCGGAGTGGGCCGGAGACCCGGCGTGTGCGGGGAGGCTGCCTCAGCTCTCCCGCCCCCTTCTTTCCAGTCCCTACCCCTTCTCTTGCTCTTTCTGCACCCCCGGCCCTAACAGGGTTCCCCACAGCCTCACGAGAGTCGCCAAGCCAAGAGCTGCGCTATTTAGTTTTCAGATCTCAAGTGTGGGGCCTGGCTTCTCTCCTTTTCCTACGGCCCACTTCCTTCTTCGCCCCAGGGGGCGGGCTCCTCCAGCTGCTCGTCACTGTCAAACACCTCCCGGATTCCGCCTCGACCCGGAAGTGGCGGCCACCTCCGAGCCGCTGTACTGAAGGCTCCCAGAGGTGCAGGGTCGGCACCTAGTTTCCAAATGTTTGCTGTTTTTTTACACATTAGAGTAGGAGTAAAATTGGTGGTGGTCTGTTTGTCCTTCATTTCTGACAGCCAGTCTTTGCCGGCGGCGGGGGGGTAGATTTATCGACATCATGGGCCCCATTTCGCAGATTTGGAAAAAAGTTTCGATAAATTGATTATTCGCGCAACGAGCATTTACTGAACACCTACTGCGTGCCAAGTGCATCTCTTACAATTCTGGCAAGAGATAGAAGCAGCAACACTAGATAGCGTGTAAGAACAGAGAGTGATGACCAGAGCAGTGCCAAGAATTATGCACATTTCCTCTTCTCTCTCAACAAAATATCCTGGAGAAATTAGTAATAATACCAACAATACCTACTCTTAAGGAGTTTACATTCTAATGGAGGACAAACATGTACATGTAAATAAAGTTTCAGTTAATGTGACAGGCTATGAAGGAGATAGATGGGTAACAAAGACAGTAGCTGGTACAGGGGAGGGTGGAGGCTGTTAGACGAAGTATACTTGTGACCAAAAGGATCAAGCTAAAGTTAACAGATAAATATTTTATGAATCCCATAGCTACTGTTTAACTCCTGATGTGTGCCAGGCAGGCCCTGAGCTACACACCCTATATAAATTATCCCATTTAATCCTTGCAGTGACCCAATGAAATAGATATTATTCTCATTTTGTAGATGAGGAAGCTGAGAGGCTTAGAGAAGTAAGTTTCCCAAGGTTGCGCTCTAGTGGTAAAGCCAGACTTAAAGCCAGGACTCTAAAGCCCTGTGCTCCTTTCATTTACACATAGAGCATCCTGGACAGACCCTGTGATTGCTTAATATCTGCCTTCTCCATTAGCTTTTAAATCCTTCAAGGATGGGGACCATCACTGTTCTTGCCTACCTTTCTATCACCATGCCTTGCACAAAGAAGGTGCTTAGTGATTATTTGGCAAATGAATAAATTTATGAATGGTATCCATGTTGTCTTGTCTTACAAAAAGCCAGACATCTTGTAAAAAGCAGAACTAGGAATCAGTATACAAAAGCTGTCATAAATGTGACTTTATTCTTTCTTAACTCACACCTACCCACCAAAGGCAGTATTTTAACTCTTCATTGTACACATTTGGAAATGGGCTAAGAGAAGGAAAAAGTGATGTCTTGGTCAAAAACATAATGCCAGCAAGGGGCAGAGCTGAAAAGCCAGTGCTTGGGTTCTGGTTTAACAGTTGGGGTTTGGGTACCCCTGATTTATGTAGTGTTTGCCTATTTGTGTGGTATGCATTGTGATGTCACCAACACAGAATTGGAAGAGATGCACAGTAGCACACCATTATCGTCTTTCCACCTTAAAGATACAAAAGATAACCTTAAGGTCACAAACAATGATAAATTTAAAAACAGCAATGAGTTTTGAATATTTATCACCTGTGTTTTTAATATAACATTGCAAATTTATATACTTTTTAATAACAGCTGTGTTCAGTAGCCATCTTGCCTTAAAGTTTCTCAAAATTCAAGTTGGTTTTCATGAGCTAGTAAGAGCCACCTCTACCACATGGCTGCCACCATCCCTTTTTTCCTCTGCCCTAGTGACTCTTGGGTTACTCTTTGGGGAATGTACTTGTCTACCCCATTGACATTTGCTCTTTCTGCTCTGATTCTTACTTGACTTCTCACTGCAGGCTTACCACTCTTCTCTCATGGACCCCGACACAAAACTTATTGGAAACATGGCACTGTTGCCTATCAGAAGTCAGTTCAAAGGACCCGCCCCCAGAGAGAGTAAGTCAGAGCTCCTTTCCATTTCCTGTGTCTCAGATTGCTCTTGTATTTTCTATTTGCTTGATGGAGATTCCATTCTAGACCTTTGAAGATCATGGTATATGTTGCATCTAGTAGGAAATGGGGTATTATTACTCATTTCTCCAGGATATTTTGTTGAGAGAGAAGAGTAAATGTGCGTAATTCTTGGCACTGCTCCGGTCATCACTCTCTGTTCTTACACGCTGATCTAGTGCTGCTGCTTCTGTCTCTTATAAAATACCATGTCCCCATCCTTTCTGTGTCACCAAGCTGGAAAAACAAAACATTTCAATCTATCTCATCTAAATCTACTTCCTTTATTCATTCTTCAGGATTTTCATTTTTAGCAGTATCTTGATCTTAAATTTTAAGTGTCCTGTATATAACATTACTAATTTTTTCCTTTGCTTTTCTTAATTTTATATCATCTTTGTTTGTAGTTACTTTTCTTTTTGAAACCAACTGTTCAGAAAGCTCCATTCTTTCCAGACAATGTGTGATGAGATTTCTGACACCCCAAGATGTTCTGCCACCTGTGTAATTTGTATTATATTAGACATGATTTCCCTGTACCCAGAAGGGTCTGCACTGAATTGCATTCATGGTTTCCCAGATCATGGTTTAATTACCAATTTTGTACTGACCCCATCTCCATTCCTCTGCCAGCCTATATTTGACTAGACTGCCTCTTAATTTAATTTTGTTTTCAGCACCAGTTGAAAGCTCAGTAAGCTTAATAAATTTGGTGAGTCACTACAGTCTCTACCCGATTTTGAGATGAAAAAAAGGGAACAGTTGGGCAAAAAAGCAGACCAAGAAGGAGAGAAAAACATAAAACATAAAAGAATTACAGTGCAAAGAAAGAATGAGAACCAATGTTAGCTCAGACTCCTTGAGAAGAACCCTTTTCATATGGTTACAAAATGCTGTATAGAACAGCAGACAGTTCAGTTGACCAAGGATGAAGTAAATCTGATTGCCACCTGTGCACTTTTTGGGCCCTTGAGGGAGAATGGGATTCCAAGAAATAAGATCCTCATCATTTCTGTAGACAAGGATGACCTGTTACTCTTATCAAGGGACTGGATTAGAACTGAATTGAGATTATGGGGGAGGGTAAGATTCTGCTATGAACTAAGTAATTGTTAGCATTAATCAAATTAATTTTTTTACATCCAGCAAATATCTTTTGAACATCATTTATGTGCCAAACACTGTCCTCGGTTCTGAATCTTATAGCCCATCCCCACCCCCTACCATCCACATTACATTTAGAAGAACTAGCTGGTTTTGTAAACATTACTGAATCCTCTGAGAAAATTTCCTTTTTGCAGATAAGAAAATAGATTGCAAATCTAAAGTTAGGCTTCTGTTAAAATCCTTTAGCAGGGGAGTGAGCAAGGGAAAAGACAGCTGAATTACAGAGTATTAAAACTTGAGCATTACTTGCACTTCTGCTGTGTGAGAGAGAGAGCAGTCATGGACAAGAAATATAAATAACTGTCTTTGCATTGCTGAAGCCAGCTGCCGGATATCAAGACCCTGGGATTTTGACCTTTTTTTAAGTATAAAAAAGAGAAAAGAAAAAATTGCCAAAGAAATTGTGTAATGAGATCTGTCTTTGTCATAACTGTATTATGTCTGGCCATTCTCAGGCTCTAGCCACCTAGAACATCTTGTGCAAGTATATTTTAAGTCATAGTTTTGATAAAAAGAAAACTTAGATATGAACTCCAGTGTGTAAATATGTGATGTTTAAATGACAATTGAGAGTTTTTCCGTGAACTACAGTATGTATAATCAAATAAAATTATATTGAATACTTCTTATTTTTAAAAAACATTTCATTACAAATTAGTCTACCTATGTCCCAGTCTAGTTTTATAAATGCATTGAGTGATGTCTGGAATGATATTCACCAAATGTTGATAGTTGTTATTTCTGGGTAGTGAGTCTTAAGGTGACAACTGAAAAAAAATTTTTTATTGATGAGTTTATCTTCTAAGTATGTATAACTTATATTAAAACAATAAAGCTATAAGAATAAACCTTGTACTTCTAGAAATTGTTTCTAAATATTTTATATTTCAGTAGCCTCATTTTATTTTACTCAACTTTAAAACTCTTAACCACTGAGCCTTGGTTTTCTTCCTTTATATCCTTTCTGGGTGTTATTTTTGGGTTTGACTAATGTTCTCTATCTTTCTCCTTTTGTGTTCTGCTTAGCAAAAGATACAGATATTGTAGATGAAGCCATCTATTACTTCAAGGCCAATGTCTTCTTCAAAAACTATGAAATTAAGGTAAAGTACAGAGCTTTTAAAGTTTAGTTTTCTGGTGGGAATAATATCTACTTGGCAGTCATGGTTGATCTGAGGAATAAATAAAATAAAATGAAATTATATGATTTTTAAAAATCAGGATAGTCTCTAATGTTAGACTGTATATCACTATTAGCTTCTCATTTTTCCTCCAAAGTCTACACCAGGAGTTGGCAAACTACATCCTGAGGGATAAATCTGGCCTCC